TTTTGTATCTCTGCTTTTGTCTCCTTGAACCCCAGCTGGTCTCAGCAGATGGCCGCTCACACTGAGCCTGGTTCTGCTGGAGGTTTTTTCCTGTTAAAAGGGAGTTTTTCCTCTCCGCTGTCACTTCAACCATGGTTAGTGTAAGGGACTGCATTCAAGTCAATGAGTCGATGCAATCAACTGGTTTTACTTGGATAGAAAACTTTGATTCAATTTGACTGTATGAGCTGGTGAACTGTAAAGTGCCTTGAGATGACATGTGTTGTAAATTGGCGCTATATAAATAAACAGAATTGAATTTAATTGATGGCAACAGCTGAGGTGATGCCTTAGCCCTCATCCCTCTAGGATGGTGTCAAAGCCCAGCAGGAACAGATCAAATAGAGGCACTATGATTAGAAAAAAGTTGAATGAACATAAACTTAAAAGTTGAACTAACAAATACTAAAGAATAGAAGAATATTGAAGAACAATTATGAAAAGTGGTCCCCAAGTCTTCCAGCAGCCTAAGCCTATAGCAGCATAACACCAATTCATAACATGTTATCTCAAGGCACTTTACAGAGACAATTCAAACAAATCATATGCTCAGATTTATTAAAAGTTTTCAATCTAAGGAAAACCATGTGATTGCTGGTACTTTAGGATAACCTGTGCCACTCTAACTATAAGCTTTATCACAAAAAAAAGTTTTAAGCCTAGTCTTAAAGTAGACAGGGTGTCCACCTCATGCACTAAAATTGCTATTTGGTTTCACAGGAGAGGAGAAGATCTGCCTCCCATTCTACTTTTAGAATGGTAGGAAGAAATTGTAAAATGTTGGTACGTAGAATTTCATTAAGAACATTTATTATAAAAACTTAATGTAAAAAGTCGTCTCCACTTTCGATTAAAAGGTATATCTTCAGAATATGTCCAGCTTCCTTTTCTTCCAGCGTATCAATCTTACTTCCAAGGGGTAAATAGTAATAGTAGTAGACAGAAACAACAGTTAGAGAATTCCCCCCATACCAGAAGGCAAAGGGATGCGACCCTTGAGACAAGCAGTGCCACCCCATCTCTTTGCCTCTTCCAGTGTGCGACTCCATAGAGTAGAGGAGAGTCCAGCCTCTCCAAAGGAGCTGGGTAACAGAGCCCAGGGTATGTCTGGTGTGTGAACACTTTTTTCCCGGCTGAGTTCATACATTTCTGAAATAAAAAAGTCAATTCGAAAAAAATATTTTTTCAACCTTCATATCATAATGATAAATGAAAAAGTATAAGTGCTTTTTAAAATAACCCTTCATGCTATAGGAACTAAAAAAAGTTAATGGAGAGAGCTAAAAAGCAAAAACATGGAAATGAAATACAGTATACAGTATATGTTAAAGAGAGTTATTTCAGGCCTTATTTACTACAAATGCTGAATTGTTCAAAATATAAAGCTAATTGTTAAGCCCTTCTTTATAATAACTAATCCCTCAGTTTCCTTAGTTGAACACTGTGCCACAAACTGCGCCATCAGTACATTTGTTCTATCAGAAAGTAGCACCATAGAAAAACGTTGCAGTTATCTGTCTTTGACCTTTGAGTGCTCCATCAACACTCTGAGCCTAAGCTGACTGTGACTACTAAGAGAGGCATAGAAGCTCCTGAAAGATCTCTATAGGGAAAGACAGCGCTTAGAAGGAAGGAGCACTGTGCTGCTCGCTGCATATGTAGGGTATTTGTGTCATAGATTATATAAGAAACAGGAGTTGCTCTACATTCATCATAAAATGGATGCAAAATATAGAATCTTCTCAAACCAATCGGTGTTACTAGCAGCTTTATGTAATGAAAAGTAAGTCTCCTTGCATAATCGGTGAAGCTAAAAAATTATTCATGTCCTGTTCATTCAGTTTGTCATCAGAAGAGACACAGAGAAATATAGACATGGAAACAGACACAGTCACAACAGTACAGCTCAATGTTGTACATTTATTGCAAGTTTACAGAGATTTGTTATCTGTAGCTAAACAAAGTGTGAGTAGCAGTTTGAACTCAAAAAGGTAATTATGAGCTTTGTATCCTGTCCTACCAACTGCATCCTCAATACTGCAAAACATGACTGTTCAAATCACTGTGATGTAACTTTTTCCATCTGGGACTGAACAGAGTCAGCATTTATGTAAAGAAATCATATAACCTAGATTAGCAAACTAAGAAAGTGTCAGACTAGATTTTGTTTGTCCCTGATATTTATCCAGGTCATTTAGGGTGAACACGTATGTACTGTAAAATAATACATTTCGTTTTATAATAGCCCTGTGACTAAATGTGATCAGTATGCACAGATGTCTTAAAGAAACCTATTCTACTTCGTAAATTTTATTGTATAATGATTCATTATACAGCCGATGATCTTCGATGTTTCAGTTTTTGCTTTTCTTGATAATGTCTTCCTCTACAGCAATTAACTAGTTAAGTGTAGTGGCTAAAATATTATATTCTAGGCAACTGCTTGCTATCGTTCCTGGTAGGCTTTGGTCTTACATGAGCTCAATCAAGCATGCAGGTCTATATTTGGACTTACTCATAAGCCCCATTTACACTACCCTTTTGAAAGGGTAGTGTAAATGGGGCCGAGATCAGTCCAAACACCGTAGGCGAGATAGCTGTTGAGTCTAAATGGCAGACACAACTGAACCACGCAAACATGGTGCTAGTTCATCTGTAGGGCTCACCGCGACTTAGTGCTGGCTCATTCTCAGATAACAAAGAGCGCATGAGCAGACCGCGTCATCTCCTTACTGTCAGCCACCGTAATCAACTAAAAACTTCAGACAAACTTCAGACATTCATACAAATATTAGCTTCTCTACCGTGCTAAACGATTTCTAGTGATGATTTGGCTTAGCAGTGTGATGAAACTCAACGTCCATCATTGTTTCCTGCATCTGTAAGACCTGATTAGACGATCGTTTGTCGTATCCACTTCCCAAAAGCCAACTCTGTCAAGTAAATTCCCCAAAGGCTGCCTTCTTCGCCTGACTCTATCACAATTATAAACGAATTTCCTGAATGTTATGCGCCACTGGGAGGCGAGGAACTGTGCTAGGGGGTAGTGTAAATTGTCGTAAGGAAACAAGCTCGGCACGGTTAACTGATCCAACCTCGGCATGGAGCGGTTTTCAGAGGGTAGTGTAATTTGGGCTATAAAGTCATTCATTTCCATCACAAGGTCTATTTTCTTCCAATTTCCATTTACAACAAAATACAAACAACTTAACTTCAAACTAAGGACAGTAGAAAACCGTTTGCTACTTCACATGACACTTGACCTTAAATAATCCCATCCCCCTCCTAATGCAATAAGTGAACCAAAGGAAATCCACCCCCAGTGGAGATAAATTCAGAGAAATAAGGTAAATGGTTCATACAGCTAGCTTAATATTTATGCCTTGTTAATAAGTTAGTTCATTCTGGTTCGTGTCAAACTTCAACTTTTGAAAATGTAGTGTTTCGCTTTAAAAATCCTGACATCAAAAACAATATCTCTCTAGGAGCTCTCCATAACAGCTAACTGATAACTGCGCTTTCTGAATTTGGTTGTATAAAACAGACCAGCAGCTGCAGCAGCCAATTATGTCTGTATTTCATTGTCATATTAAACATGGGCCACAGCTGCTCGCAGAAGGTGCTGCTTTATAAACACATGGACAACTAGAGCAAATGAATAAAGGCACTTTTCCATTGATACTTTAAAGTCGTAGGGAAAATCATATTTAAATGTCAAATCATTAGACATGTATATAAATATAGTCTTTATCAGACAATATTGTCCCAAAATTCAGAAAATTTCCATTTAAAAAAAGATCCTGTCTTAAAATCTGTGTTTTCTTTTCCTTATTTTATGCAGGCCCGTTAGTTATACGTCAGCCTAAACACCTAAATTCGGCCAATCATATATAATCTGTCAATCAAGTGTTTTCAGTCATAGCATCTTGATTGATATGTTCTAGCTAATATATGCAACGGTTGAAACAAAAAATAGGGCGTAGAGCTAACAGAACTGGCAGCGTTGCGAGGCAAGGGCTCAAACATGTACGGCTGTAAGCCTTCTACACCAAACCAAGCTTCTGCTGCCCTGGCGTCCTCTTCCACAACATATTTGTCCCCGCGTTCCTCCGCTAAATAAAAAATATATGACAGAGGAGACTCGTCCATGACCTCCGACACTAAACTCTCCTCGTCTTGCATGTTTCCGCTGTCCATAGCGTTCCTTGACAGTGTAGTTTCTAAGTCACCAATTTAGTGCTACTTGGTCCCAATGGAATTTCCCATTGGGAACCTACTAGCACTTAGTTGCTAACTGGTAGCAAGATGCTTCCGACAAACCGGCCACAACCAAACTTGCTTGCAAAGTAATGATAAAGATAAGGAAACATCCACCCCTCTATTATTAAATCCTACATTGGAAAACCAAAAAATATATCTGATCAGTTGAAGGTCAGATCTGTTTTGTTGGCAAACTGAAACTTTTAGTCTAATTTTCTCTCCTGTTTAAGGGGAGCTCAGACTCCCGTTAGCATGTCCTGGTCACATTTCTAATTCAGCAACACAAGTAGCAGAAACACACTCCGAGTGCCAAATATTGACCTGAACAAACATTTAAGATATCTTTAATCCAGTTAATACTTGGGTCAAAGCTTTAACGAACTCTCTGTAAAACAAGAATTGAAAATGGAATAAATTAGTAAAAATAAGAACAGAAATAAATAAAGCAAAAATGCAAATAATGTTTTTTTTGTTCAATAGTTATTTTTTTAGTGACTATTTTTAGGGATATAACAATCCACCGGGATTTAGACACTGCTGACTAGATAGATAGAATTAATAAATTAAGGCACAGCTTCTCTGTTTTTGCAGTTATCACTACTGTTCTTATACACAGTAATAACTGTACACATGATGACTAAAGGGGATCTGAAAAAAAATTCAAGGGTGCTAAATAAGCTATTTGGGCTGTTGTCCACAGAACTGCAAGATTTGATTAGATAAAAAATAACTTAAACGCATCATCGAACAACACTTGGATATTGAGTTTTGTCAAGAACAAATCATTGAGAAGAGAGACATCAGATCAATACGTTGGGTCAGATCTGGACATTCCTAATCTATGCCATAAAAAAGGAAAATTTTCCAGGCTTTGTGCATCTATGCAGTACAAAAATAAAAGGTGAGTTTAGATAACCAGAACAATGTTCTTTCCTCGTGAAGAAGAGCCATCCTGGTAAATAGAAACTCCTCCAGTGTCCTAAACAGACCTGCATGGATTTGTGCTTAATGGAATTATGGGTAAAGAGATCCATATCCTTAAGTGATACTCTGAGGTACATCTTTGGGTGGGAAGAGCATCGGACACCAGAAATGTAGCTGATGAGAGACAAAGCAGAATTTATATCAGAGGTGGTTTTTCATGCATGCACATTACATATAACTGATTATTACTGTGCAATGAATCTAAAAGCAAACCTTTGAAATATATGACCTAATGTTGGATTCTTTTTCTTCCTTGACGAGCTTTAATCTTTTTCTCAGGATTTTTCTATGTAGAAACTCCACCCTTGCGTCACAGGCGTGGGAAAAGAACTGCTCGCAGACCAATAGCCTGAGCTGGGAGGTTTTGGCCGCCATTATGGCCATTATGAGCAGGGTGATGAGGATGGCGCTCAGTGGCACTACAGAGGTATAAAACAGCAGCTCGGGTTCGGGGAGACACCTCCTTTCAAACAAGGTCACAGAGTAGGAAAAATCCATTTGATGGTTTTCCTCATCAATTGGTACGCCAATTAAAGTAGCAATTCCCTGAAAAGAAAAGAGAGTGAGCCCTCAGTATAATCCATTGAGTAAAGGGAAAATAACCACATTTAAAAAAAAAAAACTTACTTTGAAATTGAGCATCAGTGGGACGTTGAACGGCTTCAGCTCCGATAACGTTTTCGTAATAATATCAACAAAGTAATACAACACGGCATCCATGGTTATAAATAAGGTCCAAGCTACAAAGTGGGATAATACTGGGGCTCCAAATTTCATGATAGCTTTCCCCTCACTGATGGTGGGCCGGGCCGAAGGAATGAACTTATAAAGCTTCTCTTCCTTCGAGGTGAGGGGGAGAACATGAGGCTTCCCTTCAGCCTTCTGCTTCTCATCAAACACAACAAACTTCCTGCTGATAAAGCTGTTTTTATACTTCATATCCTTGCAGTATTTTTTTATTCGTACAGCTAAGAACATCATAAGCACAAGGAAGCTGACAGCGGGAAAAGTCTTGTCCGTCACAGAGGACATGGTTTCCATGACACTTTGGACATATTTCACGGTCTCGTTCAGCTTCTGCTCGGCCTCGCTCAGCTTCAACCTGAACACTTCCGATTCTATACTCGGGGAAACCTTCAATTTCGAGTCCAGGTTGACAACTCCTAGGTCTGTAACCCCTTTGAGAATGCCTCCGATCCATTCTAACATCTTGACATAGTTACTAAACGGTGCAACAATGGATGCTTTCTTGGCCTTCAGGTTGCAAATCATGCTCTTGGTCAGGAGGTGCAGGTTCCTCAAAGTGTTTTTAATGTTTTTAAGAACAACTAAACTCGTACCAGCTGTCAGTAGTAGGTTCCTGCTCTTCTTCATGAAAATAGATATTACAAACAGAGTGGCCAAACATCTCACTCTGTTTGAAAGGAATAGGAAAACAGTTAATGAAATCCCAAAGCAGCCAGTTATCCAACCGGCCACCGTTAGTTCGTAGTCCACAGCAAAGAGGAGGTACAGGAGGAGCAGGGAGCTGAGCAGGAGGCTGGATATAATGCAGGTGAGGATGAGGAGGAAGGTCCTCCTCCAGTTGGTTTTTTCACCAGTGGTGAAAACATCTAAAGCCTGAGAAACGGTCTCATCAAAGCATTGCTTCACTGAAGTCCATGTAAGCAGCATCCTGTAGAGCAGATGCACTGCAAGAATGATCTAAAAACAAGTAAAAAAGTATTACGTTAAGTGTATTTACCCTTAATTTGAGCAGGTGAATAGGATGGTTTGCCAGTGGAATTCGTATTTTTACTCTTAAAATAAGATAATTGGATAAAATGCACTTATAATGAGACAATATAATTGTTTATTCTTATTTTAAATGTAAATTGTCTTGTTCCATTGGCAAAGTGTCTAACTTGCCTCCTTAATTCAAGAAAAAAGTGCATTTATTTTAAGAAAAAAATGGCTTGTTGAGATTTAATTTTTTTTGCAGTGTGGTTCTTAGATAAAACAGGAACAGTTAAGCTGTAAAAAGAAGAAAAGGCTAAAATCATTTAGTTCATTTGGATCATTTGGTTGTGTAGATATTTAGAGAAGGAGATTTTCCATGAATCACAAACCTTATGAGGACACGGTCGGTACAAAGAACATCCAGCCTAGGTGCCAAAGAAGGAAGATAAAGGCGTCCGATGCAAATCCATTTACATCCAACCCAATTAGTTCTGCTTCAGTACAGCAGGGCACTATTCCTTCATATCTAGTTCCTCAAATAACAGCCAGACTTGTTGTATTAGAAAACCTAAAATGCATTTTTCCTGAAAAAACAAAGGAAATAAAATAAGGCGTCACTGAATCCTGTTTCAGGCATGAATTCCACTTAAATACAAGACAAACAGGAACCTCCCTCCCATTTTTAACCTCAGTCATGTTATTGGTCAGTCATTTCTATTTATATTCAAAACCAGAAGGAAACATGAAACAGTGTCAGATGCATTTTGTTTTGTGTGAATTGCCTTTTATGGCAGTAGGAATGCCAGCCAAAGTAACTCATTGCAATATCTTTCAGTTTCAAGATTTTCCTGAGGACTTGATAGAAAACATTTGCTTTAGCGTAGATTAGATGAGAAATCTATTTGACCTGTCATGGTATCAGAAACCTCTTCCTAAGTGGGGAACTTATGGAATGAATCCCAGCCTGTTTTTATTTTCCTTTTATAGCACTCAGTAAAAGAACAACTTTTGTGTTTGTTTAAGTACAATTAGATTTCAAATGTCCAAAATCCTTTCACCTAAGTATCCAGTGTTGGTTTACTTTTTCTAAATAAGCATATTTATTCAGCTCTTTATCCACAGCTGCAGCACACTGTTCAGACTTTCCTTCTGGCTCTGATTGGTTGTGTATTTTTGCAAACTATATTTTCAGAACAGAGTGATTGTTTTTAATGAATATTTAATTGATAAATGTTTGAAAGAAGGTTTTGAATCGATTCCCAGCCTGGAGGCTTTCTGAATGGAGTATGAATTTTCTCCCTGAGCATGTGGAGGTTCTCTCTGGGTACTCCGACTTCCTCACACAGTCCAGAAACATTACTGTTAGGTTAATTGGGTTCTCTATATTCTTCTTAGGTGTGAGTGTGTGCGCTGCCAATTAATTTCATTTTCATTCAAAAAAAAGAAGAAAAAAAAAACACATTTTCTGTGGCAATGTCCCTTATTTTTCTTTTAAAATTGTGATTTGCTCATCCTCACCTAAGAGTGCTTGTAAAACTGAACCACAGCTTCCTGCAGCTCTTGCATGGTTGCTGCCCCTTGATTACGTACAGATGTCTTGGTGCACCAGAAAAGGATCATTTTTGCATGTTTGTTTGTCAACAGCATCAAAATAAATATACTTTGAAATCACATTTATTTTGCCTGCTTTGATAAAATATAAAAAAAAAATTTTCTCGTTCTTCTTTTCTATTTTCCCTCAAAAATTTGAAAGAAAATACGATTTCAGGGGGGGTGGAATGTAGCTCTGTTAGCTCTAGCCTGCTGAAGACACAGACGTCCGTCCCCTTGAATACTTGGATGGAACTCAATGGAAAGGAAATGATTCTGATTTCAACCGTTGCGCATATTAGCTGCGACATATGAATCAAGAGGCTATGACCAAAATATTTAATTTACAGATGCCCGTTGATATATGATTGGCCGAATTTAGGTGTTCAGGCTGACGCATAACTAACTGGCCTGGGTAACATAACGAAGAAAAAAACCCACAGATTTTACGACAGGATTTTATTTTTAAATAGAAATTTTCTAAATTTTGGGACAATATGGTCTGATAAAGAGTACATTTATATGCATGTTTATGCCAGAATGGTTTGACATTTAAATATGATTCCCTATGACTTTAAATAAAAAATATAAAAACTATAACACTTGTAAAATGTGATTTTTTTATTTTATTTATTTCCTCTTCTTTGCTTGCGACAATAAGGGAACACAATTAACTCCATATAGTCCTTAATCCAAAATGTGAAACTTTGCTATCATAATGTAAAGTCAGCCCAGATAACCCGCCTGCAACCATATTGGATTTTAGGCAGAACACATGTGGTACATGGATCAGCGTGTATTTCTGCAAGATGTTCCAGAAACTGCAGAAGATGGATAGCTGCTCCACTTTGGACCCAAAAGATGCATCAACGCTACATTACAACATTATTTTTTTGTCACATCAGAACCTCGTAAACTTCTAAGCTCTCCTCTTGGTTCCCTCCATCAGCTGCTGTTTTTGAGCTTTTCTCCAAACATCCTCAGCATATCTTTTCGTAGTTGATTGAAAGATAAAATAAATTCCATCTGAAAGCTAAAAACACTTCCTCCGCTTCGGTTTCTCCAAACTCTTTATGCAGTTTGGCTGCTTTGTTGCTCTGGTTGCTTTAAATCAATACACAACAATTTGTATCAATGTAATATCAATTTCTTTTATTTTTAATTTGAAAAATAACTTACATAAATCTCTGTACTCAACCATACTTCGCCAAGACATAGCCTTGGCATTAACACATTGCACCAAAAAGAGAAAATCAAAAAGGCATTCAAAAGGATAAATAACATATGTCTTTTTCATCCTGAGGCATTTTCCCTGCTCCAAAGGAGAATATATGATCTGCTTATTGTTTAATTCAGATTCTGACATCTAAAGGTATGTACAGTGAGCTTTAAATTGAAAATATATTCTGTATTCTGTTACACAGTTGAGGTGGATTTTTATTATTTTATTAAAATGATGTTTTTCCTCATGTGGAAAAAGGAACAATGCCTCGGTTCCATTTCATTCAGACATACTGCAACTGTAAGACTTGTATACCTCCCAAAACATGGGAAGTATTTGTAAGTTACTAAAAATAGAAAATAAAAAATAAATTGGTCTTGGCTTCAAAGTAAAACTAACAAAAATATAGTAAATTAATTTCATTTTCATTCAAAAAAAGAAGAAAAAAAAAACAAATTTTCTGTGGCAATGTCCCTTATTTTTCTTTTAAAATTGTGATTTGCTCATCCTCACCTAAGAGTGCTTGTAAAACTGAACCACAGCTTCCTGCAGCTCTTGCATGGTTGCTGCCCCTTGATTACGTACAGATGTCTTGGTGCACCAGAAAAGGATCATTTTTGCATGTTTGTTTGTCAACAGCATCAAAATAAATATACTTTGAAATCACATTTATTTTGCCTGCTTTGATAAAATATAAAACTTTTTTTTTTTCTCGTTCTTCTTTTCTATTTTCCCTCAGAAATTTGAAAGAAAATACGATTTCAGGGGGGGTGGAATGTATTTTTTTAATCCTCTGTAATCAAACTTCTATACCTGGCCGTGGAAGACCAACAACTTATTCACTGCTCAATTAATCGTGAGGGAGAAAAGTAATAAAATTCACATGCACTGTACAAGAATCTGCAAAAAGTCCAAATATCATCGTTATCAAAAACATGCTGAGTTACTGTAAGGTGTGCCCAAGACATGTTGCAGAAAATCCTTTTCAACATGCTTGTAAAATCAAATTCAGTTCGAAACAAAAATGCGCATTAAAACAATGCAGAAGTGTAAAGTAACTAAGAGTCCTTAAATTTGGACAGTTTCAGGGGACTAACTGATGGTAGCAGCGAATACCACAAAGAGAAGTACCCTGGGACAAGGAAGAAAAAGAGAAATGTACAATTTGCACATTACATTAATCTTTCTAAGGCTTTAGCCTTTTACAATGAAATAAATATCTAACATTTATTCTCATTGTCATTTTTTTCTTAAATAACTCCAAACATATATATTTTTTTAAAGTTCCCTTAATCTGATTGTTTTAAAAACACAGACTTATGACTCATGGTTAAAAAGAATGATAAACTGTCTTTTTTTGTCACAATGTTGCATTCACTCCCTTTGAAAACCATGCACTAGTGAAACTCTTCTTGAAAAATAATATAAATTGTTGAAAATGGCTGATCTGTTTTTAGTTTTATTCATTTTTTTTTGCAAGTTACAGCCTCAAAAAATAAATAGAATTCTTTTTTATTATTATTCAGCTAAGTTTGTGCCCATGCAAATCAACTGAAAGGGAAAATAATATCAGAATTGGATTCTTATAGGATTTTCAGCAGAGAAAGGAAGTGAAAAATACCATAGTACTTTTTATGGGGTTGGGATTGATGCAGTTTATTTTGGGGTGTTGTTGGAGGCCACTTCAGTTTTGCCCCTGATTATCTGGTGGTTTACCAGCAACAGCGGGTCAGCACATAGACCAAGAGGATGCAATGCATTTCTCTTGCAGGTAGGAGGACACACGAACACACCCCCTTTGGAAAATGTTGGTCTCCTCAACTGCATGTTAGCTACGTTTGTTGGCATGGTGTGACCAAGCATGTGTTCGGGAACACCGTCACCCCATTCAGATAAAAGTACCGCAGACATTTAAAGAAACAAAAGAAAAAAGGAAACGGAAAAGAGAAAAAAAATCAAAACAACTCATTGATTTTTTTTTTTCATTCTAAAGGGGCCACTGTTGAACTCATTTATTAGTACCCAGTGTCGGCCCCCATGGCTTCAAATTGGAAGAAAACCTGGAACTGAGAAGTTCCTCGTGCTAAGGAGTTCATCCCGGCCTCTTCCGAATGACAACAACACCTGGCAATCCCTGCCGCTGGGTGCTTGCAACACACTTTGCCACGTGCACAATGTGCGCAACGTTTTTGCTTAAAACACAGGATCACGTTCGCGCCCCTAGAAACAGGCTCAGAAGACACAACATCAAGCATGCAGTGTAACCGGGGCTCGTGACCTGTAATCGCAACACTGGCTGCTACAACAACGCTATTAGTCCACACGCTGCTATGATCGAGAGAAACTGTCCAGTGAGGATTGGGAAGCTCTTCTTGTCAGTGGGGCCAGAGTAGGGTCCACTAGTGAGGAAGGAGGGAAGAGCTTGTACCAGCCAATCACCATGTTGGACAGGTCCAGGTCGTCTAACAGGATCTGGACTGCTCCCATGAAGGATTTATGGTCCATACGTCCATAGTCGCCCCAGACAATGACCTAAAAAAACATGAGAGAATAAAAATAGTTACAAAAAAAGCTCAAATATTTTGGATGTTAATGTTTCCCTGGGAAACTTTAAGGAGGTTTTGGGCTAACCTGTAAAACTTTTCCTCCTGGACTCTCCTCAAACGGCAGTTGCTGCTGGTAGAGAGGATCCAGCGTTTTTCTTGCTACTTTAGTTTTCTTTTTGGCTATGCAGGCTCCGTTTTCCAAAAGGTAGACCTTTACGTATGGTGCTGGAATGGACAAAAACAAGGAAGACGGATTACAATCTGGCTGATTTGCTTGTTTTGTATAAAGCACCTCAAGAACCCTAAACACCCTTCGAAATCATTAAATACCTATGTATGTTCATCACTATCAATATAAAGTAATTAATAAACACATAAATAATCAGTGAAATGCATAAGATGACCACAGCAAACAGTGAAATAATTAATCTAACATCTGATTGGTTGATTCTAACCCTGCAGATGAACTGATGTTCAGATAGATTAGAATAAACTCATTCAGTTCCTTTAAAGCAGGGGACTTCAATGTTTTCCAGGCCAAGGACCCCAAAACTGATGGCGAGATGGATCGGTGACCCCCTAATTATATATATTGCATGAAATTGTGTCATATCAAATTGGTCCTAAAGTCACTCTGTTACAGATGGAGTCATGTAACTAAAGTAATTCCTCCCTGGGATTATTAAAGTATTTCTGATTCCTGGTTGATGGGACAGGTGTTGTGAATAAAACTGTGCCCAGCGTGAAAGAGCTCCTGTGTGTCGCTGAATGTGTGCATTGATGACTGAAAGACATCTTCTGCCTCCATTTATCTGTTTATTATCTGTGTGTTGAATTCATGTTAATGTGGATTTAAAGGCATTTCAATTAGTGGAAAAAATTATGGGGAGGAATATAAATATATATAAACCAAAACTTTCATGAGCCCCATGCAGTACCTCCGAGGACCCCCTAGGGGTCACGGATCCCCTGTTGAAGACCTCTGCTTTAAAGTCTACTTAAACAGTTAAATAGAGAACTAATTAAGAAATTCTCTGACATATTTCTGTGAATAAAATAAGGACATTATATAACTATTATAATACATATATTTCATCTCTTTATTTCTTTGTAATTTGAATACATATTGACAGTTTGCAGTTATATATATCTAACTGTGGCACGTTTGGTCCAACTATGTTTTATATCATATTTGCTTATCAAGTGTCTCTGAATCACTGATGTCACCTGAACTTTTGGTTTCTCTGTGAACATAAATTACCTGGCAGTGCCTTAGATCCTGGTTTGCCCACAAGGCCACGAGCTCTGATGACCTCGACCTCCAGGGCTCCTTTTTTCTCCACCATGCCTATTTGGATGTCGCCTGAAAAAAGATCAAACTAAGTAAATACCACCTTCTTTTAAAAGTATTCCTTCCTTTAAAAAAAAAAAATACATTAAAAAATGTTTTTCTCACCCATTGGTGGAGTAGCCAAAGTCTGACGTCCAACCAGCTGGGCAGGTCCCAGACCATCCAGGAAGTCACTGAACTGAGCGTCCGAGGAAAGCCTCACACCGGGGAAGATGAGGCTGAAAGAGAAAGATCAGATGAAAGTCAGGACATCGATGGCTGCACACCTTTCAGCAACAAAAACTGGAGCTTGAAACCTTGTGAGGAACTGCCTCAGAATTTAAACTAAAGCCGTTAATAATTCTTATGTAATGGCTGCCCTTACTTTCCCTCTGAGCTGTAGCTGTTCATGCTCCCATCAGTGGACTCCCGACTGGCCTGTCGAGTCATCCTGCTCCTCATCTCCACCGCCAGGCCCGTCTCTGTACTCCTTTGGACCGTGCTGCGCAACTTCTTGCCTCCTGCTTCTGCCCAGACAGTCAGACACGAAAGAGAGAGAAAAAAAAGAGACCCAGACTATGAATTCATGTCAGAACAAATCTGGCTTTATTGTTGACATCCTCCAAAAGAGACAATCTTATATATTGGAATTCCACCTTTTATTAGCAGCAATATTTTTTGGAAAGGATCACGCAAAATTCAACTGATATATAAGGATTCTGACTGTGTATACGCCTAATAGAACATGGAGTACAGTCATATTGTGCTGCAGGAGACACAGTGGGTTCGTACTCCACCTCAGTCCTCAATGCTTTCCACTTCAAAGCCTCCAAATTGATCCAAGAAGACAGCTGACTGCCTCCCCCCAGCAAACCTGCTGCTACTTTTCCACAGTCCAGAACTACATGGTTGACAGAAATACTCACATCTAAACAAGCTAAAGCAGTCTGCCTCTCCTCTCTTGGCCAAAAATCACCCAGAACACAAAGAAAATCATGTTCCTTATTCATTCAAGAACCTTGTTTTTTTTATAAGAGCAAAACTAAATATTGTCAGAGATTAGGGTATCCAACTCCCTAAAAAAAAAAAAGAAAAAAAAAAGGGACATCTCATGTGTGTGCCAGCTGACCCGATTGCCTTCACCCCTCCTGGCGTGGTGATTTTTTTAGCCCCCTTTGTGTGTGAAATAATTTTTGCAGTGTGCTTTATATTCATTATTGCATACGTTTTCCACCCTGGTATTTGTTTTTTCCCATTCCTCCCTATATTTCTGCATCCTTTTTTTTTCAGAGGAGCATAACTATTCAAAGGCGCACTGCCTCCAAAAGCAGCGTCAGCATCTTCTCCGTGAGCGACACTTGGCTCGACCAATGGGATCAGGGTATACTAGATAGTTACATATATGTTGTCAGCTTATTGGTCACAATGCAGGACAGGAACCGGGAAAAAGTTTACCTTTAGTTTTGTTTAGTTTTAGTTTCTAACGTGCCCTTCTTCATTTTCCATTAGCTTTTTACTGACTATTTTTTTTACTCTTACAGTAACGGGACAAAGTGCGTTACTTTTCCACTAAATACTGGACAGGTATTTCTATTTCTAAATACGGAATCATTCTGTTTTATAAGGGACGGTTGGCAACCCTATTCCTTTTCTAATACTAATTTCCAATGATGTTCCAGTGACTATCTGATGAACACACTTTGATTATTTCTGGTTTTATTTTAAAGAACTACAGCAAATGGAAAAAAATGGGGAAATAAGTGCTGCAGGTTTTTAAACAGATGAAATTATTAAAAAAGTGATGGCTACAAGTTTACTCCTCCTAGCCCACTTACGTTCAGCTCATACTGTTTGTTAGCATGTTGCTAGGTCCGCTAATGCTAATCTTTGAAATAAAACACAGATAAAAAAGCTTTATCACAGAGCTACTAGCATCTGGAAACACCTGAGCGACCTCTCTCATGTCTTTCAGTTGTTGTAACCAGAAATACACATTTTGGACCCGTCAAAAGTTATAAAATAACTCTTTGTATAGTAAAATATTTTGTTTAATTAAGATAATTTTCATTCTCTACTATCTTTGGATTTACTATTTCTAAAAAAGTATTTGCTTTGACAAAAATAGTAGTGGCTAGTATCTTTAAATCCAACAGAAACTGGTAATTGCAAGATTATCAGCATTTATAAAGGCATGTATGGCAAACTAATACTATGGAACTATATTTATGGAATTAATCATCTTATAATTTTGAACCGATAGTTCTTAAAGTCGGGGTCAGGAGACACCGACTGGGGCGTCATCAGATGGTTTTCAGTCACTGTGATGAGAAACTTCAGGTATATGAGGGACCAAAATACATGATGAAATACATAAATGTAAATTAAAGTAAATGAATGACCTATGAAATATGTTGATGTTTCATATACTTATTATTAATATGCAAAATAAAATTAATAAATACAATAAAAAAAACTTTACCTGATATGTATAGATACAGTGTGAAGTATTTACATGTATTTAAGGGGGGGTCTGTCATCTCTTGAATTGTTATTTTGGGGATACAGGCTTAAATGTTTGCTTGTTGTCGACATGCTGTGTCTTACTTTGAAAAAAAATAAGAAAAAGTATAAATTATAATTTTTTATATCAAACCGGCAAAACCTCTAGAGTTGATGAGGTGAACACAGACCTATTTCAATTTTCCCCGCATTGTTTGCACCTCTTGTTCTGGTTTATCACTGTGTAGGACTCTTTTAATTCTTGACTCTGATCAAATGATTTACAGTATATTACTTGATTATTCTGTCATTTATGCATGCAGTCCAAAAATTTCAGACTTAGGTAAACAATGGAACAATTACAGCCACTAATTAATGTTCTACCTTTTTATCGGGTTACTGTTTACCCTGGAGAGATGCAAATTGTTCACAGATTGTTTAATTGGTTATTTAACGGCTTCCACTAATATTTTATTTCCAGATGTAATTTGTGATTCTCTTCCCGTCTTTGTTCAAACAGACAGTATACAGTGATGAAGCTCTTTAGCCTTGAAAGCTCAGCTATTGACCTGGCCTCCACCTCCTCTTCCTGCTCTTCAGATGTTTCAATAGAAGATGCACTGACTGAGGCTGTCTCTGACGTCTGTAGCAAAACATTCTCAGCCAATCAGTGACGACTCAGATCTTATCAATGAACTCAAAAACCCTCCATTTCAAACGAAGCGGAACATTTCTGCAAATTAGCCTCAGTCATGTGGCACGGACCCGCATGTATATAACTGCAAGATACTCTGTTTATTTATCACCAATAAATATGAATCATTGCTTCCTAACACACTGCAGGCTTGGTAATAAAAAACAATAAAGATAAGTAGATTAGAAAAAAGCATGGGAGAATAGCAGTGTCCTAACCTAATCCATGCACATAATTAAAAATAAACAAAAACCCTTCGTGGGCTCATCAACATCCGTTCAGCTAATCAAACAAACCAGACTCTTTCAGCATCAATTAGATCATCATCTCTGCTTCAACTGTCAAAACCAAACACAAAAAACACCACGGCAGGTTAAAACCTTCCACTTCATGCATAACTGAACTTTACTGTATTTCAGGTTTCTTCTTTAAGTCTAGAGTAGTTCTTATCTGTGCATCCTTTTCTAAACCAAGCTCCTAATTTCTAACTGTCAGTGTCTCAGGGCAGCATCTTACCTCCATCTTCCTCATCAAAGGAGTTCATGCAGGGAAAATAGACAGCCAGCGCCTCAAACGACGCAGAAAGGCTCATTTTGCTCTGGGAGCACTGGATGCGCATCCCAGGAGCCGTGGCTGAGCTATCGTGTCCCTGTCTGCCCATGCTGACCGAGTCGTCCTCCTCAGTGTGATCAATGCAATTACAGGATCTCAGAAATCTCAGTGATTCCTTTTAAGATGATGAATAAAAAAAAAAAAAAGTAAATTGTATGTAAATAAAATCTAAGCCCAGTTGCAGTTGAAGATGCTGTAAATCAGAGCTGGGTAAAAAAGAAAAGTCTGTCCTTGGACGCTCTGGAGATTTCAACAAGGTGGAAGCAGCAGAAAAATGCTGTCTCTGTGTTTCAGTCTGGTGCTGTCTGGGTCTGATGCTCCTGCAGCACCTCTTTCTTCAGCGGGGGAGGGAACAGAGCAGTGTCTGGCCTCAACAATCAGAGAGCTGAGCTGCTCAGGCACACCTCTGCTGGCTCTGCGGATGAAAAAGCTCTACCCAGAGATACTCAGCCCCCTCGCGACTCTTCTCTTTTTTTCCCCCACCAGCTGCCGGGTTTCTTTCTTCTGAGCCGTACATTACCGTTATTTACTTTTTCTCTCCATCCTGACACTCTTTGCCCCTGTTCTATCCACAGAGGCCAATGACAACAAGCTGTCATTAGGTCTGCCAGCATCTCTTAGAGAGGCCACCTGGCAGTCACTTAGAGTTCACGTGGCTTACACTGCTCTTCCCTGTTCCTCCTTAACAACATCATTACCACTGCGTTTGGGGGAGCGAGCTAAATTACCCATCTGCAGTCATCATTGCTTTGAAAAACTAATCTAGTTGGGTATAAAGTTGACACGTTCGTTTTTTTTTTTAAGGTACATAGTCACATTATACGCCTTTAGCAAAAAAACTAATATCCAGCTGATTATTATAAAATAAGGCTATATACCAGGGGTGTCAAACTGGTTCCAGAAAGGACCGTGTGGCTGCAGGTTTTCTTTCCAACCAAGCAATAGCACACCAGACTCCAGTCATCTTCTCAAGTGAGTCCCGTCTTAACATGATGACTTGATGAGTTGAATGGAGTCTGGTGTGCTATTGCTTGGTTGGAAAGAAAACCTGCAGCCACACGGCCCATTCTGGCACCAGTTTGACACCCCCGCTATATACTCAAGGTGTCCCTCCTGATAGGGTTTAGCTTGCCCTTTGTGAGCCTAAATAGAACCCCAGCAAAGGGCACAATGAGTTACAAAAACCAATGCGGTGCCATCTTCAGGCATTACTGCTGAACCACCAGAAGGCCAGATGGTGGCATTTGATGCAGCTCCTAAATAAGTTGAGACCAATCCGACCATGCTGAAATGCCTCGTAGAAAACGGCCAAGAGGATATGGTTTGGAAGCTTTGCAAACACCAGCAGCACTATGAGAAATCACATGTTCTCACATGCTAAAGCTCAGAATGCTTTCTGAGTTGTAGCTCCAGCTATAGTTTACACCAACGGCAAAACTAAGGCATCTTCTTGTGCCTTTTTTAATTGATCTCGGACCTTCCTCTTTTTGGAAGCTAAGTTAGTAGTTCCAAACTCTCTCACCTCCATTTCTTTGGCTTGTTGACCAATTGTATCTCCCCAAAACACCTGACAACATTAAGACGTTGGTTTTTAGACTAAAACTGGGTTTCAAACGTCTTTTCAACGATCTGAGAATGACGGGTTTTCACCTTTCAACCAAATGTAGACGTCGTTTGAGGTAAATCATGTTGTGTTTACAATGTCTGTTCAAACCCATTTTT